GCTCTGCAGTGGGTTTGAAGCCTATTTAAACAACAACAACAACAACAAAGGAGATAAAAGGGAATTATAAAAAATGCTTGTTAATCAAAAAGAAGAAAAAGGGGGAAATGTAAACAAAGAATAGAGACCATTAGAGAACAAATAATAGAATGGTGGGTTTAAACCCAGCTATATCAATAATCACATTGATTGTAACTGATCTAGACACCCCAATTAAAAAGCAGAGGTTGTTAGGGGTACCTGGGGGGAGGGTTAAGCATCCAATTTCAGCTCAGATAATCTTGCAGTTCACAAGTTCAAGCCCCATGTCAGGCTCTGTGCTGACAGCTTAGAGCCTGCTTTGGATTTTTAAAGTATACTAATGGTGAAAAGAAAACCTGGACTGACTGATGTCAGAGAAGGAGGTCTTTAAAGCAAAAAATTCTGCTCTAAATATTGAAGGGATAAGGATAAGAAATAGGTTATTTTATAATGGTATATAATAAGGTCAGTTCAACAAGAGGATATAATAGAAGTAAATATTTATGCACTTAATAATAGAGCTTTGAAATACATTAGGTAAAAACAGATAGAAATTTAAGGAGAAATAGATAAGTACGCTTACAGTTAGAGGTTCCAGGATACTTTTATCAATAATTGATAGAGCAAGTGACAGAAAGTTGCTAAAACTATCAATCACCTTGACCAGTTGACATTTATAGAGCACTCAACCCAGCAGAATACATATTCTTTGCTAAGTGAACATGGAACACTTACTGAGATCATATTCTAGGGAGATTTTTAAAACCTAATAATTTAGAAGAATTCAAATCACACAAAATACATTCTGTGCCCACAATGTAATTAAAAATCAGTAACAGAAAATTCTCTGGAAATATTTCAAAAGTAAAAAAACAACAACACCACCCATTTCTAAATAAATGAAGAACTCAAAAGATATTTAGGAAGTATATTAAACAGAATGAAAATGAAAATTCAAAGCATCAATATCTGTATGATGCTCTGAAGATAATAGAAGAAAATTTATGCTATTAAGCACCTATATGGGAAAAGAAAAAGATTTCATATCCACGACTTAAGCAAAGCCATCTTAATAAACTAGAAGGGAAGAGTGAGTGAGCTCCAAAGTAGTAGAAGAAAATAACAAAAATCAAACTGGAGAAAAATAAAATAGAAAGAAAAAATAGAAAAATCAGTGAAACCACAAGCTGATTTATTGAGAATATCAAATGGATAAACTTCTAGGTAAACATGGAGAGTACGGTGGGGAGAGAAGACACAAATTACCAATATTGAAAAAGAGGTGGCATTTAAAAACAATTTTTAAATGTTTGTTTACTTAGCAAGTAGTGGGGAAGAACAGAGAGGAGGGAGAGGATCCCAAGCAGCCTCTGCACTGTCCATGCAGAGCTAGACACAGGGCTCGATCCCATGAACCATGAGATCATGACCTGAGCTGAAACCAAGAGTTGGATGCTTAACCGACTGAACTACCCAGGAGCCCCAAGAAGGTGGCATTTTTACAGATACTAAAAATGACAAGGTAATGAATTCAACATATTAGGTAAAGTGGGAAAATTTCTTGAAAGATACAAATTTTTGAAATTCATTCAGAAAGAAATAAGTAATCTAAAAACACTGTGTCTCTTAGGAAAATTTAGTTTGCAGTTATTAACTGTCCACAAAGAAAATGTCAGACCCAGATGGCTCCATTGGTGAATTCTACCAAATATTATAAGAAATGTCAACATTTCTACATAATCTTCCAGAAAATTGAAAGAGAAGGAATACTCCCCAACGTATTTTATGAGACCAGTGTTACTCTGATGCCCCAACCAAAGACATTACAAAAAAGAAAGCTACATACCAATATTTCTCATTAATGTAGATGGAAAATCTTCAGCAAGATTTTAGCTTTTAGAATCTCACAGTATATGAAAAGAGTGATAATACATACTGTCCAAGTGGATTTCATTTCAGGAATGCAGAGTTGGTCTAACATTTGGGAATCAGTCAATGTAATTTATTATATTAGCAAAATAAGAAAGAAAAAACATGTTTACCTCAGTAGTTGTAGAAGAAGCATTTGACAGAATCTAGTATTTGTTTCTGAGAAAAACATTCAGCAAACTTGAAAGAAGGAAATGCCCTTAACCTGATAAAAAGAGCATCTTTGAAAAACTTACACAAGCATCAAACTTAATGGGGGGGGGGAACGTTTCCCCTTTAAGATCAACAGTGTACTAGAGGTTGTAGCCAGTTCAGGAAGATAAGAAAAAGACATGAATTCAGAATGAGAAAGAAGTAAACCTTTATTCACCAAAAACATGATTGAATTTTTATATGAAATCCTGTGATAGCTACAAAGATGTTACTGGAATTAAAAAGTAGATATTTGTAAGGTTTCAGGTATATGCTCTGTATCAGGGTTTCTCTGTACTATTAATGAACAGTTAAAAACCAAACTTAAGGGGTGCCTGGGTGGCTCAGTTGGTTAAGTGTCCGACTTCGGCTCAAGTCACGATCTCACGGTTCGTGGGTTCGAGCCCTGCATTGGGCTCTGTGCTGACAGCTAGCTCAGATCCTGGAGCCTTTTCAGATTCTGTGTCTCCCCCTTTCTGATCCTCCCCTTCTCATATTGTCTGTCTGTCTCTCTCAGAAATAAATAAAATATTTTTAAAAAATTAAAAAGTTGTACCATTTGTGGGGTGCCTGGCTGGCTCCATCACTAGAACATGTGACTCTTGATCTTGGGGTCATGAGTTTGAACCTCATGTTGGGGATAGAGTTTACCTTAAAAAAAGGTGACCTCAGACTAAGTGCTTCTACATGAATGTGCTTTGGCAGTCAAGAAAGAATATTTTTCATTGGTAAAACATAGTATCATAGTTAACCAGAAAGCCTTTCCAAGGTTGAGTAAGTGCTAGTATCTTGCATTGTAAAAACTGGAACACTCCCTCACTAACTGACTTTGCCAGTAAAGCCACCAATGCCTGGAGCTGTATAATAAATAAATAACAGGTTGTACTATTGCAATTACAACAGATATTTTTAAATACTGACACACAAACCTGACAGAAGCAGTGACAGATCTATACAACGGTAACTGAAATATTGCTGAGAGAAGTTAAAGAAGGCCTAAATAAATGGAGAGATTCAATGTTTTTCATCAATTAGAAGACTCAATATTGTTAAGAAATCAGTTCTTCCCGAATTGATTTGTAGATTCAATGCAATTCCAATCAAAATCTGAGGAGGCTTTTTTGTAGAAATTATCAGGCTCATTCTAAAATTTGCATGCAGGAGTTCCTAGGTGGTTCAGTTGGTTAAGCCTCTGGCTCTTGATTTTGGCTCAGGTCATGATCCCATGGTTTTGAGATCAGGCCCCATGTTAGGCTCTGGCTGATAGCTGGGAACCTGCTTGGGATCTCTCTCTCCCTTTCTCTCTGCCCCTTCCCCACTCACACGAATGTGCACTGCACTCTCTCTCACAAAAATAAAAAATACGTAGAGGCACCTGGGTGGCTCATTTGGTTAAGTGTTCCCACTTGGCTTAGGGCATGATCTCACGGTTAGTGAGTTTGAGTCCCACATCAGGCTGTCTGCTCTCAGCACAGAGTTCACTTTAGATCCTCTGTCTCCGCCCCTCCCCTGCTCTCTTTCTCTCTCAAAAATAAAAACATTAAAATTTTTTATAGACATTTAAAAAATTATATAAAATTTGGATGGAATGCAAAGGACCTAGAATAGCCAAGCAGCTTTGAAAAAGAAAAAAGTTACAAGGCTTATACTATGTAGTTTCAGTGCTTATTTTTAAACTACAATAGTCCAGGCAGGCTGGTATTGGCATAAAGGTAAAGAGATCATTGCAACAAATTTGAGCATCTAGAAATAGACTCAGGCATATTTGGACAATTGATTTTCAACAGTGGTTCAAAATGGCCTTCTGAATAACAACACTAGAAATTAGAAGAAGTTCTGAGTGGGGGAAACATTTTCAACCTAAATATATATAGTCAAGAAGTATGAAGGGATAAACTAAGAAGAAGGAAACAGAGTAATCCAGAAAATAGATTCTATCACAGGGTAAAAGTTTAGGAATGTCCTAGGACATTAGCTAGGCCAGAACCCTAGGCATAAACTGCAGATTAGAGCAGGATATGGGAGCAAGGCAGGTGGGAGGTGGAGGGGTAGGGAGGAACAGATGTGTTTAAATTACAGAGAATATTTTTTTTAACATTTATTCATTTTTGAGAGACAGAGTGTGAGTGGGGGAGAGGCATAGAGAGAGGTAAACGGAATCTGATGCAAGCTCCAGGTTCTGAGTAGTCAGCACAGAGCCTGACGCGGGCTTGAACCATGAAACGTGAGATCATGACTTGAGCCAAAGTCAGACATTTAGCCAACTGAACCACCTAGGCATCTGTAAATTACAGAATATTAATTGATGTGTCAGAAATGTAGCAAAAATAATTGGTAGAACCACAGAAACACTGGGAAGTGTTAAGATGTAGCAGTTATTAACCTTATAATAAAAAGGAAAGGTTAGCATTGCACAAGAAAGGTGACATGCTCGTTGTAAGCTCTTTGTCTATACTGTCACAATAATGTTAGTTCTTTTGGGATGAATATAGCCAGATGGAAATAGGATTTGGTAGACATCGTTTTCCAGTTTGCTCAGTGATCTAAAGTGTAGGCCTCTATGAGAACCAGTGTTCTAAAGGGCTGTCTCTTTTGCCCTGTGCTCTCTTACTCAGGCCTAGTTGTGGGTCAGTCCTTGTGCCTGTTTAATCAAGAACATTGTCTGGTTGTTCCCACCCCTGTTTGATGACAGAATAGGTTACTTTACTTCTTTTAGCAGTTTCCTATCAGCAAATGTCTTAAGGGGAAATCTCTTCTAGAATAACTTTGTTCCTAATCTGATTTGGGGGGAAAACTGATTATGAGTACCTTTATCAATCATGTTTAAACAGGCTGATTGTTTTTTTATTGCCCTCTAGGAAGTAAGAAGAAAGAAAAGGAACGGCCAGAAATTTCTCCTCCATCTGATTTTGAGCACACCATCCATGTTGGCTTTGATGCGGTTACTGGAGAATTCACTGTAAGTTTACCTAGTTGGGACTCATTTATGTCTCCGCACTCAAACCTTTCCGTGCATCATTATGTTTCAAGTTAACTTTTCTATCCACATGTTAACTGTGAATTCTTAGTGCTTTTCTCTTCTTATGAAAGTGTTTGTGGTTGGATGTATCTTTCTTCTAGGGAGCTGAGCTCATTAGTTAGTTATGCAAAACAGATTTAGAAAAATTGACCATTAGAAAAGTAAGACCTTCTACAGTTTAGTCAGGCCTACAGTAATGTAGATTGACTTGTTTTTTTATGTTATCTTGCCATTTCCTCTGGATGTTGATTTTATTAAAGCAACTCAAAACCACTAATTTTTTAATATTTTTTTGTTAGGGCATGCCAGAACAGTGGGCTCGATTATTACAGACCTCCAATATCACCAAACTAGAGCAAAAGAAGAACCCTCAGGCTGTGCTGGATGTCTTGAAGTTCTATGACTCCAACACGGTGAAGCAGAAATACCTGAGCTTTACTCCTCCTGGTAAGACATCCAACGGTGGTAAAAGGCTGATTCAAATGGGATTGCAGAATCTTGAAGCATGCCTAGATAAAAGGATTGCTTCTGGAAAAATAAAAACCTAAGCTATGGTTCTTGTCCCTACTTTTCCCCCTGCTCTAGATCTGCCTTTTGTAGACTGATTGAAGCAGCTCTTATGCATAATTTGGAGTCTGGGGAGTGTGTTATTCTCTTAGTTTTGCCAAAAGTGGATGTTTTGGCCTATTGTTTGTTTTTTCTTGTCACTGCTTTTGATGACTCCCGGCAATAGAAGAGAAAGATGCTGACTTAAGGGCATGTCCATACTAGAAATAAATATTTATTGTTAGTGGGACAGGAGGAGGGTTGTTTTGCTATATTAAACACACAGACTATGAAGTAAAAAATGTTTAAGTCATCCAGAAATTTGAAATCGATTCAAAACTCAAATATATAAACATAAAATAAGCATTAGAACTAAAAGATTTTGTACCTTGGAATTAGAATATCATTTGGTAAGAATTAGAGTATAGTAGATTTCTAAAAATAGTTTATTGTTCAATCAGGATCAGAGTAAAGTCCACATATTACAGGTGATCACTGTATCTTTTGAATCTCTTTTGATGTTTAGGAGCCCTCAGGCTTATTCTTAGACTCTCTTTTCCTTGCAATTTATTTGTTGAAGAAACAGGATCATGGGTCCTATTTCCTTCGGTGGATTTTGGTAATTACATCCCCAGGGGGTCATTTAAATTTCTCTGACCCCTAAAGTCATACATGTACTTTTTATTTCTTTATTTTTAATTTTTTAATGTCTTATTTTTGAGAGAGACAGACAGAATTCAAGCGGGGGAGGGGCTGAGAGAGGGAGACACAGAATCTGAAGCAGAGTCCTGGGCTCTGAGCTATCAGTCCAGAGCCCGATGCAGGGCTTGAACTCATGAACTGTGAGATTATGACCTGAACCAAAGGCAGACACTTAGCTGACTGAGCCACCCAGTCTCCCCCATACATGTACTTTTTAAAAACATGATTGAGCTAAAATCATACATTTAGTTTTAATTAATTGTACTTAATTTGACTACATTTTCACAGAAATAAGGGCTGTGCTTAAGGAAGAAATAGAGACCAACTTGGCCAAATGATCTTGACTTTTTTACCTAGATCTCAACCTTTGTATCCTTAGCAAAAGGTCAGACTTGTACCTAGAATTTTTGTATCAACTAGTAAGTCTGTGTAAATTAGTGTTTTTTTAAATCCGTGTTTAACCAGAAACTGGTATATTCTTTTCACCCTATATATATCTTTAATGTATATGAGTTAAAGTTATGTTAAATATACCTTTAATATAATCACATTTATAAATTATACTTATTTATATAATACATATGTATGTTTTGTATATTAAATTTATAATATGTTAACATTAATATGTGTTAAGTGATATATGTTAATATGCATAATGTGTTAGCATATTATTTAGTATATATTATTACATATATGTATAAAAATGTAAATTTCTCCAGGCCTTTTGAAAAATAAAACAGAACAAAACTTGCTTTTCTAAATTCCAGAATGAATATTTTGACATTTAGTCTTCATGAACTTTTTTGTATTCAGGAATATGCTTTCTCATTTAAAAAAAAAGTCTTTTTTTAATGTTTATTTATATGTGAGAGAGAGTGTGTGTGTGATCAGGGAAGAGGCAGAGAGAGATGGAGACAGAATCAGAAGCAGTTTCCAGGCACTGAGATGTCAGCACAGAGCCTGACACAGGGCTCGAACTCACTAGCCATGAGAAAATGACCTGAGCTAAAGTCGAAGTCTTAACTGACTGTGCCACTTAGGTACCCCAAAGGAAAATTCTTGACATAAATTTCAATAAGAAAGCATATTCCTGGGGCCCCTGGGTGGCTCAGTTGGTTAAGCGTCCGACCAGTTCAGGTCATGATCTCACAGCTGGTGAGTTCGAGCCCGGAGAGGGGCTCTATGCTGACAGCTCAAAGCCTGAAGCCTGCTTTGGATCTATGTCTCCCTCTCTTTCTACCCCTCCCCTGCTCATTCTCTGTCTCTCTCAAAAATAAAGAAACATTAAAAAAAGAATTTTCCTTTGCACAACTGCCATTGTCTGAACAGTTGCCTTAAGTTTCTCGATAGACAGTTTACTGGAGTATTGCTATGAATAAACTTGTTTTATTTTAATTAATACATTGACAAGTTTAGTTTCAGATATGTTTTTAATAACTTCATTAAAATCATAAGTCATATGCTATAAAATTCACCCATTTGAAGTATATACATCAGTGACTTTTAGTAAATTTACAGTTCATTAAGATTTGAAATTTTATTAGCACAATCTTCTATAAATCCTTGTTTGAATATTGATACTGTCATTTTTCTTAAGACTTAATTCAACTTAAAATGAAATCAGTCTAAGAACATTTTACTAGCTCTGCTTTGTATTTTCTTCTTTTTATTATTTAGAAGTTGTTTTATTTTTTGAGTTGTTGACTTAGTATTGTTTTCTGTTTCATATTCAGAGAAAGATGGCTTCCCTTCTGGGACACCAGGCGTAAGTTGATATGTTACTTCTTGTAACTCTTTTTTTAACTTACTAAAGTTACCCAAAACAAATCTCAGTTTTTATTTTGCTTTCTAAAATAAATTACAGCCATTAAGAACTACTTAATATGTTTTATTTATCTATTTATTTATTCAGCTTAATACGTTTTAAGCTAGCCACTTGATTAAGCAAATAAGGAAGCTATATTAAGTAAATAGAATTTCCTCATTTGGGAAGAAACAGTCTTCTAGAGTTGTATGAAGACTAAATGAGGTAATATGTAAAGTACCTACCTAGCATGTCCTTGGCATATCATAAGCTCTGTCTAAAGGTTAATGTCTTCTTTTACTTCATTAGCCACCATTTTTGATGGTGATAATCTGGCCATCTTAAATGACCAAAAATGACTCTGACTTATATAAAGTCTAGAGGATCTTTGTTTTTGGTCTTAACAAATAAAGTGATTATTTCCTTTTAGGGCTTGTTTAAAGGGTATAAAATTCTCCATATGAAAGGTATAAATTTTCTCTTAAGAAAACTTAATATTTGCTGTAAACATTTATTTCATTAACTAAATTTCTCTAAGTTATAGAATTGCCTTTACTCTTTAAGTGATTAGATCACTGCTTATCATTTTGAAACGACCTATTAAAGAAATACATTTTTTCAAGTATGTTAAAAAAGAGGGTCCTGTTTTAACTTACTGTTGTCTTTGACTTATCTTCCTTACTTTGCTCATATGATTAATACAGCTGAATACCAAGGTGTCAGAAACATCAGCAGTAGTAACAGAGGAAGATGATGATGATGAAGAGGCTGCCCCTCCTGTTATTGCCCCACGACCGGATCACACAAAATCAGTGCGTGTCTGGTTACTACCTGGACTGTGGGAGTCTGGGCATGTGTGTTTTAAAAACAAAACCAAAAAAAAGTCTGTATTTGACTTTCAGTGATTACTTTTCAAAGGCCTTCATAATGGGGAAATTTGACTAGGAGATCTTTACCTAAAAACCACTTATCAAAAAACTTAATTTTTTATTCAAAACTAAAATTGAATGACTTCCTTAAAAGTTAAAATACTCATTGTTTTTTCTTTCTATATTATACCTTCTCTTTCAGAGAATTCATCTATTTCTCTGATTTTTTCTGTTTATTTCAATGCAGATAACTACTATATCTAAAACTTAAATCTTTTTACCCAGATTGTGTACATTATCTCCCATTTTACATTTCTCTCAAAGCCTTGATGTCATTCAGGAGGCTGCTGTGAGTGAAATTCCCTACTGGATATGGGAGAATTTAATGACCTCAGATAGAGGCAGAAAGAGTCCTGTGCCTCCTCCCCCTGTACTAGCACAAGGGAAGTGTGGGGGAGGTGCTGTGTGGTGGAGCGCTGGCGCAGTTGGCAGGGAGGACTCCAAGGACTGCCCCTGGATCCTGATCTAACGAGAGGGGCCTCTCACTTCTTTCTCTGCCTCCTAGAATTGACTGCTTAAAATGAAATGGTAGAAATCACCTTTGGATAAAAGTTTTTGTGAGAATTAGTAGCTAATAAGACAAGTCTGAAAATATTCTCCTTGTTTAGAACACTGGTTAAAAAAAGAATTGAGTGGCACCTGGCTGGCTCAGTCACCCAGACCCACGAGTCAGTAACTGACTCTGGATTTTGGCTCAGGTCATGATCTTGCATTGGGCCCTATGCTGTAACCTGCTTCAGGTTCTCTCTCTCCTCCTGCCTCTCTCCCTTGCTTGCTTCTGCATGCTTTCTCATTCTCTCTGAAATGAAAATAAAAACAGACACAAAATATATTTTTTAAGTCAAAGACCTGAATAGTGTGCCAGTAAGAATACTAAAAATATTTTTCCTCAGATCTCAGTAATTAACTCTCTCTCTACAGATTTATACACGGTCTGTAATAGACCCTATCCCTGCACCAGTTGGTGATTCTAATGTTGATAGTGGTGCCAAGTCTTCTGACAAACAGAAAAAGAAGACCAAAATGACAGATGAAGAGATTATGGAGAAATTAAGTATGTTACCTACATTTTACACTATTCTTAAATTGTTAATAGTTCTTGAAAATTTGGCTCAGATGGATTTTAATGTATACCTTATATATATTTTGGCTTAAGACATAAAAAATAGTTTGTTCTAAGAACAGTAGCTTCAGTTAAAATCTGCTGAAGCCAGCAGATGATTGGATCAAGAAGATGTGGTTTATCTATACCATGGAATACTACATGGCAAGGAGAAACAATGAAATCTGGCCATGGCAACATGGATGGACCTTGAGGGTGTTTTGCTGAGTGAAATAAGTCATGCAGAGAAGGACAAATATCATATGTTTGCACGTATAGGAGGATTAGGAGGAACTTGACGGAGGAACAAGGCGGAGAAGAAGGGGGGAAATGGTGGGGGAAAGGGAGAGAGGCAAGCCATGAGAGACTCTTGAATGCCGACAAAAACTGAGGACTGATGGATGTGGGGGGGAGGGGGCGATGGGCATGGAGTAGGACACTTGTGGGGATGAGCACTGAGTGTTATGTGGAAACTAATTGGACAATAAACTATTTGTAAAAAATAAAATAAAAAAAAATCTGCTGAAGCCAAAATCATACTCTAATTTGCTTGTTTATTATGTGTTGACTTTTGAGCAATGTCTTTGCAATGGTCAGTACCTTTGGAAGAAATACTTCTTCCCAAAAGGTCAAATCTAAGGATCATGATTGGAAACCTTATCAAAAGAAGTTTATTTATGTTTATGCATACTTATAGCTTCTCAGTAGGATAATACAAAATGTTCCAAAATAACTAAACATTTCTATGTAGATGTATGTGTCAACATCAAATACAGGTGTTTTTTTTGTTTTTGTTTTTTTCCTCTTCTCCCTTTACATCCATCAACTGCCATTGGCCTGAATCAACCATTAGAAATAATGTACACAGTGCCAGGGAGAGGGTGCAAGTCTACAGAAGCTGTAGTTATAAAGAGCACTTTATAGAGAGGGATCAAAGAAAGATACTACAGCTATAGTGGCTGTACCTATATAAAATCGGATTATTTGTGTGAGTTTCCTTGATATGATCCTATCTCCTTTATCTTGAGCAAGTGAAGACTTAGTGTGGTTTTCTCATGTTTTGATTTAATGATAGTAATAATATAAGTTATAGTTTTATATCCAAATCCTAATTTTAAAACTGTTTCTTAGTTGTGACTTTGTGAGCTTTCCTAAAACAGATGTATGATTAGTTCATACTAAAGTAATCTTTATAGTAATAAGTGGTTTTCTAAATATATTGGAAGATAGAAGATAATATGGGAAGAGTCAGAAAAGCCATTTAGGTTTATTCACGTGAATATCAGTTATATATTATTTCTGATAGTTTCATAACTTATCATTAGTTTCATATATATCAGTGTATTAAAGAATACTCATCCTTACCCAGGAATTTCCCAATTAGGATTGAATCTCCCACATCCTGAAAACCCCTTTCTTTATTCTTAGGCAGACTAACACAGTTGGTCATTTTAAAGTATGTTTATTTTTGAGAGAATGATAGGATAATTAAGACACTGGTTAGGAGGTCCAACCTAATAGAAACAATATCTTCTTGCTTCTGATAAGTTTCAATAGTGTTTTGTCTTTGAAATACATTATTTTTGAAATTTAGTGTTAATGTTTGAAAGCTAATGTTCTAAACTCAGTAGACTTTATTAGAAGGAATGAGGATGTAATTAGTTTACAACTTTAAAATGCTTGACTGAGTTTCCAATGTTTTGTTTGGTTTTTGTTTAAAATAGGAACTATTGTGAGCATAGGTGACCCTAAGAAAAAATATACAAGATATGAAAAAATTGGGCAAGGGTAAGTATTTGTGAATATGTTACACAATATTTAACAATTCTTGGATGTACACTATGATTTTTCTTTTTTTTTTTTTTTTTTTTTTTGCCTGTTGAAAGACATTGAACACTTACGGTATTCTGTGAGTGGTATTCTTGTAATTCATTTATTTCTACATGCTATTAAAAAGGCTACACGGTTTAACAGTGATCATACACTGTTTTTTCTTAAATGTTATTTCCCATTGGTGGTTGAGAGACTAGATGGGGAAATTGCCCTGCCCATCAAATGTATTTAAAAAATAATAACATTTACTACAAGATTATAAGCAATAAAAGCACGTATTTAATCACATCATTGAATATTGATTTTTGAGTCTGATACTCGGATTTTGTCCAGTAATTTGTGTTTTAAAAAAATTTTTTAATGTTTATTTTTGAGAGAGAGCACAAGCGGGGGAGGGGCAGAGGGAGACAGAATCTGAAGCAGGCTCAAGGCTCTGAGCTGTCAGCCCAGAGCCCAATGCCAGCCTCGAGCTCACGAACTGTGAAAATATGACCTGAGTTGAAGTCCGGTGCTTAACCAACTGAGCCACCCAGGTGTCCCCAGTAGTTTGTATTTTTAAACTACACTTGGAGCATCTGAGTAGCTGTCGGTTGAGCACCAACTTCAGCTCAAGTCATCATGATCTTGCAGTCCACGGGTTCGAGCCCTGCATCAAGCTCTGTGCTGATAGCTTAGAGCCTGGAACCTGCTTTGGATCCTGCCTCCCTCTCTTTTGGCTCCTCCCCCACTTGCACTCAGTCTGTCTGTCTCTCTCTCTCTCTCAAAAGTAAATGCAAAGAAAACTATTTTCTGTTGCTTAGGAGCAAATGACCATTTTAAATTTTTTTTTTTTTTTTTTTTTTAATGTTTATTTCTTGAGGAAGAGAGCACACATGAGCAGGGGAAGGGCAAAGACAGAGGGAGACATAAAATCTGAAACAGGCCCCAGGCTCAAGCTGTCAGCACAGAGCTGGATGCGGGTCTCGAACTCATGAACTGTGAGATCATGACCTGAGCCGAAGTCAGATGATTAATCAACTCATCCACCCAGGGGCCCAGACCATCTTCAGTTTTTAATGTTATTAATCTCTGGAAAGTGTTCTGTGAATTTAGAAAGAGAGCTTAAGTCTGTTTTGAAAACTTCCTTATGAATTTGTTTGTATGTATGACTCTCTTAAAGCTAAGTTTAAGTGGTGCTCGGGTGGTGATCTCACAGTTTGTGGGATCCAGCCCTGCATGGAGCTCTGCACTGACAGCTCGAAGCCTGCTTGGGATTCTCTCTCTCTCTCTCTCTCTCTCTCTGACTCTGCCCCTCCCTCACTCATGTGCACATACACAGTCTCTCTCTCTCTCAGAATAAATAAACTTTAAAAAAAAAAAAAAAGCTAAATTTAGGGGCATGATCCTGGAGTGGTGGGATCCAGCCCAGTGTCGGGCTCTTCACTGAGCATGGAGCCTGCTTATTCACTCTGTCCCTCTGCCCTGCTCCCCTGCTCATGCTGTCTAAAATATTTTTTAAAAAACACACAACTAAATGTAGTTGCATCACTGGTTTAATAACAAAAATTGAAAATCATCTTAATATTCTTGAGCATGATAGTGGATAAATTATATTGAATAATATAAATAATTATTGTTATGAATGAGCAAGTATAACACCTATCCCAAATCCAGTGTTGAATTAACATTAAATCACATGGGGACCTGGATGGCTAATTAAAGTGTAGGAAAGTGCATGGAAATGGTACACATCAATGACAGAATAAATACCAAATACAGATTACTTTTGGGAAAAAGGAGGATGCCTTTGTAAAGCGCACACAAGAACATTACAAACTTATTTGTAGTTTTTTTGTTTCTTTTAAGCAGGGAAATGGATCCATGAGTATATATCCCTTTTTTCTTTCTTTTTATGACAAATTTCTAACAGAAGTTTTGGCCATAGGGATTACCTTTTTCTTATTTTTTCCCCTTTTGTTTTGCTTTTACTCCTGTTTAAACATGTTAAGTTTTGGGGTGCATGGGTGACTCCACTGGCTAAGCATCCTACTCTTGATTTCAGCTCAGGTCATGACCTTATGGTCATGGCATTAAGCCTGGTCGGCCTCTGCACTGACAGCACAGAGCCTGCTTGGGATCCTCTCTCCCTCTGCCCCTCCCCTTCTTGTGCTCACTTATGTTGGTGTGTGCACACTCTCCCTCTCCTTCCCTCTCTCTCTCAAAATAAATAAATAGATAAATAGAAGGTATGTAATTAAATGTTCTTTAATCCTTTTGCAGTTGTTCTAAGTATAAAGTCTTTAGATGTATAAGTGATAGTGATTTAGAAACCTTAAATCTGGTTGTGTCTTTTTTTCCCCCTAGGGCTTCTGGTACAGTTTTCACTGCTACTGATGTGGCATTGGGACAGGAGGTAGCTACTTTTTCATATTTTGGGTGTTACCATTAGCTTTTAGTATAGGAAGAAACTAGATAAATCTGTGAATAATCAATAGGAATCTCTTTTTCAGTTCAATATGTTGAAAGAATTCTCTATGTAATTTTATAGTACTTAATAGGAGAAAAAAGAAAGAATTATGCATTGAGTTTCATAAATGAGCAAATATTTAAAAAATTATCTTCTCAGCTTGGAATGAAAAGAGGATTAATTCTTGGCATTGGTATAACCTTGGGTTGATTAAGCAGCTTTAGAAGAAATATAAAAGTAGTTGGCCTCTATGTGTTACAAAGCATCATGCATTGCCAGTGTGGAAGTAAAAGTTACCTGTGAGTAAGCTCACTGTATAATATAATAGATACATAATAAATTAAATTATTACCTGACTGGTGTTTGTAATTTTCCAAGAGAATTAGACACTTGTTCTGATTTTTCTTATTTCTCTTTCCTTCATAGGTTGCTATTAAACAGATTAATTTACAGAAACAGCCAAAGAAGGAATTAATCATTAATGAAATTCTAGTGATGAAAGAATTGAAGAATCCCAACATAGTTAACTTCTTGGACAGGTAAATACGAATATTTCAAGTCTTCTGGTGTTGGAGGCTAGCCCCTTGAGTTAAGACTAGAGTAGAATGTCCGTGCTGAAAAGGAAGCCTGAAGGAGGAGGAGAGGTAAAAAGAAAATAGCACAATGCAGTTTAGCAGGACTTATTCTAGATATCTCACTTGGCAAGTTAGAGAAAGCAGTTAAATGAAAGACCTTGCTGCTGGTGCTTGTATTAGTTATAAATGATCACAAGCAGCAACATTAATGAAATGAGCTATGATTAATGTGTTGACTGACAGAGGTGCCTGGCCACATGTTTTTTAAACTTAGATCAGTTTTTATTTTAAATGCTGCCTTTCATGGGCAAATAGTGTGTCAAAACCTCATTTAATTTTGGAATAGATGTTAAACAGCAGAACAAAGAGCAGAATAGAAAATTATATATTGTACAATATACAATTACATATATGTTAATGGAAGAAGAATAATCGAAAAATCAAAATAGTGATTATATTGGAGATATAGAGGATTATAGGTGACTTTCTTAGTTCCATGTGTAAGTTTGTTTAGAATGGGGAAAAGATCACACTTTTTTAGATTTTAGCCCTTGTAATGGGGGACATGTTCATAAAAATCAACTTCCCAAGTATATTTCCCTAACAGTGTTATTTTAACTGGAATGATCTATGTATACACTCAAGTCACAATTATGGGCAAACTTTCAAGTCACTTAGGAATATCATAATGACCCTCAGTTAATTTTCTGCGCTGTTGCATAGCAGCTTGCCAGTTTTCTCCCTGGCTCTCAAAGCTTCCAGCTTCCTATATTTGTTATTAGGGTGCCTGACATTTGAATTCCTTGTACTCAGAGTGATGTTAAAAATAAGAGTATTTTTTGTGTGTTCATAATGATTTTAGCTACCTGATGGGAGATGAATTGTTTGTGGTGATGGAGTACCTTGCTGGGGGATCACTTACTGATGTTGTGACAGAAACCTGCATGGATGAAGCACAGATTGCAGCTGTATGCAGAGAGGTGAGCTTGTCCCCTTTTTGATAAGTTACAGCAATGTGTAGTTAAGCAGGAGGTTAAAAAAAAAAAAAAAGACAGGGGGAAAGCTTTTTGCACAGGTAATTTTTACTATGTGAAATACTTGCTCCATGTACTTCTTTGCAAGTTGTCCCCATACCATTTTATCCTACATGAGAATTTAAACCCTTTCCTTCATGTGTAAGGCAATTCTGGAACAGAACATGGTTTTTTGAAGAGCCCAGCTCACAGGTAAAGTTCAGTGGAGTGATCATTAAAATTTAGCAGCCAATCAGGGTACTTTTAAGAGTGAAAGGGAAGGCCAGTCAACAGTGGAGACATGGACTGTCTTAGGCAAAGCAAGACACATGTTTACCTGAAGTGTTAAGTTTGCTTCTGGGCTTATTAATTTATCGAAGGTTAAACTGGTTGTTTCTTGATATTCATTAATGAATTTTTAGACATACTGTTGCTTCAGCGAGTAGAATTCAGCCAAATAGCCCTTACATCTAAGCTTTTGGTTGTTTCAGGAGGGAAGGAAATAAAAATTCTTTAATAGCTATGAATATGATATTTTAATAATATGATATCTCTAACAAAGAATGTTTGATCACTTAAAAGCTAATAAAAACTTAAGAATTTATCTATTTATGTGGCACTTGGGCAGCTCAGTTGGTTGAGCATCTGACTCTTGATTTCACCTTGGGTCATGATCCCAGAGTAGATTCAAGCCCTGAGTTTGGATTCTGTCTATCTCTCTCTCTCTGACCCTACTCCACTCACTCTCTTTCACTCTCTCTCTCTCAAAGTAAATAAACTTAAAAAAAGAATTTATCTATTTATACTTAGTTTCTCTAATAATTTCTTCTCATAATTGTTTTAAAAATTATTTTAGGAGTTTCTCTAATTGGCAAGTTAGAGAAAACAGTAAAATGAAGGACAAATTTGTTTCTATTCATTTGTACCAGTGTTATGGGGAAGATTTGTTCTTTTCAAGAATCTGCTTAAATGCTTGGTAAATTTAATATAGAATTACATAGTTTATCTGTTTTTCCTTGAATGAATAGTAGAATATTTTGAATGAGATTTTTAATTGTTATTCATAATGTACATCCCTTATTTGTTGTTTTCCTCTATTGGGGGTAAGAAAAAGAACAGCTTTTTCCATGTTTAGAGTTTATACTCAGTTTATATTCAAAAACATAGGGACAAGCAGATTTTAAAACTCTAATCTTGTTCCTGTATTTAAGGAAGGAGTGAGTTTTTCCTCACTTCTGACTCTGTGCTTTCTGAAACACAGCATAAGAGGAAAATTACTCTACCATCAGTGGTGTCTAGGTTGTGTGTATAGCTTTATGTAAAATCCACTATAAAAGAAATGAAGAAAACATCTTACATCAGTGAGCAGCTGGATAGAACTAGACCTCCCAGGATCTTACCTACTTTCTGGTGGCTGAATTAGACTTCTGAAGTCATGCTCAGGACATGAATACTGTATGTGAATTTCCTTTGGACTTTTTAGGAACTGTTTCATTGATAAGTATTTTTCTTGTTTAGTGTTTACAGGCATTGGAGTTTTTACATGCTAATCAAGTGATCCACCGAGACATCAAAAGTGACAATGTGCTTTTGGGAATGGAAGGATCGGTTAAACTTAGTGAGTAACAAATGAAGAAATAACATGTATTTGTTATGATACTTCTGCCTTTTGTTTAAGTAAAAAAGAAAACCAAAAAAAGCCTTCTATTGGGGTACCTTGGTAGCTCAGGTGGCTGAGTGTCCAACTCTTGACTTTGGCTCCATCTTGGTCTCACAGTTCGTGGGTTCAAGCTGGGTTCAAGCCACTTCGGGCTCTGTGCTATTAGTGCAGAGCCTGCATGGAATTCTCTCTCTCCCTCTTGCCCTGCCCCTCCCCCACTCACTCACTCATGCTCTCTCTCAAAATAAACTTTAAAAAATAAACCTATTAATATTTTTATGACTTTATATATGGAGAAGGAGGGAAAGAATGGTAAAGAATATGAACTCTCAACTGGACAGATTGGGTTTAAATAGCAGATTAGCTACTCCTTGCTGACTGTTTTGGGATGAGTTACTTAATCTCTTTGTGTTTATTTTCTCAATTATATAATAAGGAAAATAAGAGTAGCTATGTGAGAGAATTTTTCTGAGGATTAGAAATGTGAAGCACTGAAGAACAGTGCCTGGGACTGTTGTAATGTTGGTGCTGTCTTCCAAAGATAAACTTGAATTTGTTTCTCTTGTCTGTTAGGGTAGATCTTTCTCATTATCCTGTTGAGCTTTCTTTGGATTTGGTAAAGCAGGGCCTAATTGGGAGAGTGCTATATGACCCTGACCTGAGAGATGACAAGGGGGAAAAAAATTCCTATAAACCTCTCTTCCTAATTATCTTCTGTATCAGATATGATAGAGTCATGGGGGGGAAATCCTAAACTTCCTTTTTCTCTGTTGGCTATAATCTGTCAGTTTCAATGAGGCCCTCTGGAGGATTCAAGAAGAACTTGAGTTTCCTGCAACTATGCAAAATTCAAGACATTTCTTGGATCAAGAAATCAAAAAGTTTTCCTTCTGTTCTGCTAAAATGTTTGGCTCCTTTTTCAACATCTCTTTTTAAAGATAATTCCTCCAGAGAGTATTCAACCACAGAAAGAGGGTTCTAGTAGATGGTCAAAAACAAAAGATTACTAATCTTAATCAGTGGGCAAATTAGAAGTGGACATTCTCAATACTTTTCTGGTGGATACACATGTAAACTGAATTAGACTTTTTTGGATAATGTTTTATCTTGGATCTTCCACATACTAAATGAATGATCTTGAGTAAGTTATCTAAAAATATGTATGCTTTAGTTACCCAATTAGTAAAATGAGAATATTAATAAATATGCCTATCTCATAGAGTTATCATAAGGATTAGGTATGTTAATTCTTATATTTGGAACATCTCTGGTTTGTTAACAAGTACTCATTTTAGCTATAAATATTGTGATTTGATGGAACAATTGTTCTTTTAGTATGCTTTTCTATAGGATTACTGAATACAAGCACAGCAATAAATGCAAAGTTGTTCTCTGCAACATTGTTAAAAAAAAACTTAAATATCTAAGAGAATAGGAATGGTAAAATAAATTATAGTCCTTTTTAATTTGTAATATTGTGTAATTATAGTAATGAGGTGGATCAATGTACAACTATAGAAAAATCTCTAAAAATCAATTTTAAGAAACAATTTACTGAAGCCCCTGGCTGGCACTCAGTTGGTGCTCTTGTGACTCTTGACTCAGATTTGTGAGTTAGAGCCCCACAATGGGGGTAGAGGTTGCTTTAAAAAATAATAAAAAGCACTTTACAAAGTATCCTAATTAGATAAAATAAACCATGCAGCTCATGGTAATTTTTGTAACTATGTAAATTCATAACAAAAAGTATAAACTTTATAAACCTAAATGTTAACAGTAGTTACTTTTGAAGTAGAATGGGTCTGTAGAAGGGAGGAGAAAATTCTAGATTCTCATCCTGATATTCCCACTAAATAAACACTGAATCCTACCCAGGCCTCCTGCTCCTGTTATAACATAAGGTAGTTGCAGTAGAGTAATGCTGGCGAGGACTTTGTTAGGTACGGCTGTAGTTAACGCTGTTCTTTTTCTAGAATGTCTGCTAAGTCAGATACTTAGTAATTCTACCTTCTGTTTATTTCCTTCAGAATTAGTTCCCACCTCCTGACCTTTACCTGTTTTATAGAATTTAGTTCTGGTGTTCACCATTGAACATTTATTTACTTTTTTCTCTTAGACCTTTCTCAACTTTGTTAAAATTTTTAGGATAGGTTTTTTTTTTTTTAATATTTTTATTTATTTCTAGGAGAGAGAGGGAGAGACAGCGTGAGCAGGGGAGGGTCAGAGAGAGAGGGAGACACAGACTCTGAAATAGGTTCCAGGCTCTGAGCTGGCAGTCAGCACAGAGCCCGACGCGGGGCTCGAACCCACGAACCGCGAGATCATGACCTAAGCGAAAGTCAGATGCTTAACCGACTAAGCCACCCAGGCGCCCCGTTAGGATAGTTATTTAGAATAAAAAAACCTCCTGATAATTTGTCCTTTGCTTGTGGGAAGTAAAAGTAAACAAGTGAAGAGTATGTAACATCATTAATATATTTGTAAACCCATTCTCATTTACTTTTTTATTTTAAATGTGAGCTTTGTGCCCAATGTGGGACTTGAACTCACAACCCCAAGATCAAGAGTCACATGCTCTACTGACTGAGACAGCCAGGTGCCCCTGGTTTACTTTAAAAAAAAAAAGGCTGAACAGTCCAGTGTAATTAATCAAGTCATCTCTCACAAACTCAGATGGAACTATCCATGGACACCATTAACTCTAGATACATTTTTTGTTTTTTTTTATAGCTGACTTTGGTTTCTGTGCCCAGATCACCCCTGAGCAGAGCAAACGAAGTACCATGGTTGGAACGCCATACTGGATGGCACCAGAGGTGGTTACACGGAAAGCTTATGGCCCTAAAGTGGACATATGGTCTCTGGGTATCATGGCTATTGAAATGGTAGAAGGAGAGCCTCCGTACCTCAATGAAAATCCCTTGAGGGTAAGACCAAGTAAACACCAGCCTTATTTTTTGGAAAATACATTTCTTTGCAACATTTATTTAGAATCTGATTGTGCCAGGCACAAACTGAGCAAGAACTTAAGATACAAAGTTGATATAACCTAGTTTCTGCCCTCACTCTGCATCTGAAAATTATCTGCTTCTGGGTTATTGAGTTGAATATGTTAGGTAAAGAGTTTGTGGAGTTTTAGTAAACTGTGTGGTTTTAAATTTTGCATGTAAGAATTTGCTCACTTTCCTACAAAGGGTCCCTAGATGTACCCGTTAGATTGTCAGCTTCAAACCTTGGATTCTGTACCACCAAGTGCACAGGAGAGGAAAGCAAGATTGCATCTGTGAGAAAACTGTAGATGGTGATGTTAAAGCTCACATTCAAACAAAAGAGTTAGGGTCCTGAGTTAGAGATGGGGCCAGTAGACTTTAAACAATTAGATATTCCAATAACTGAGGTGGAGAGTTTAGGAGTTTGTTTTTTCCTTCTTTCTCTTTATTTCTTTGTTTGTTTGTTTTTTTCATGTTTTATTTATTTCTGAGAAAGAGAGAGACAGACAGACAGTATGAGCACGGGAGGGTCAGAGAGAGAGGGAGGTACAGAATCCAAAACAGGCTCCAGGCCCTGAGCTGGCAGTCAGCACAAAGCCCGATGCGGGGCTTGAACCCACGAACTGTGAGATCATGACCTGAGCCGAAGTTGGAGGCTTAACCAACTGAGCCACCCATGCGCCCCTTTTTATCTCTTTTACTTGTAAATTACTACTATCATTAGTTATTAAAGAAATGCAAATCAAAACCCAAACAAGATACCACTTCACACCTTCAAGAATGGCTATAATCAAGATAGACAGTAAATGTGAAGAAATTAGAACCTGATACATTGCTAGTGGAAATGTAAAATGGTGCAGCACTTGGAAAATAATGTGACAGCTCCTCTAACAGTTAATGTTGAGTTACCATATAACCTAGTAATTACACTGCTAGATATGTACCCAGGACACTTAAGAGTCACTTGGGTGGCTCAGTCATTTAAACATCTGACTCTTGATTTTGGCTCAGGTCACAATCTTATGGTTAGTGAATTTGAGCCCCAAGTCAGTGTGGTGCTCCAGGCTGACAGCATGGACGGAGCCTACTGGGAACTCTCTCTGCCCCACCCCACCCCCACTTGCCCACATGCATTCTATATCCCTCTCTCTCAACTAAAAATAAATCCTTTATTGGAGAAAGGTTTTTATCCCCATAAAAACTTATACACAGTTGTACATACCGGTATTATTCATAATAGTCAAAAGGTATAAACAACCCAAATGTCTGTCACCTGACGAATGAATGAACAAAAGTCGTGTGTCACTACAGTGGAATATTATTGAGTCATAATAAAAGTAATGAAGTACAGGTACCTACAACTTTAAATATGAAAGCATTATGCTAAATTAAAGAAGTCATACATAAAAGGTCACATATGATAAGATTCCATTTGCCATCCATTTTTGTTATTCAAGTTTTGCAAAGCCACAAACACTGAATTAACAAATACTGAACTATTATTTTTAGGAGAAATATAGGGTTGGGTTCCTGCAAGCCTTTGGTCACATTTCTGTCAGCAGATCAATACCTGTTTTTTGTATGTTTAATCTTGCTTTTTGTATGTTTCTGTTTAAAGCCATCTAAAGAAAAATATATATATATACACACACACATATATATATATATATCCTTTTTTTTTTTTTTGAGAGAGAGCATGAGCACATGCACACGGGGATGGGGCAGAGGGAGAAGGAGAGAGAGAATCAAGTAAGCTCCACAACACAGAGCCTGACATAAAGATTGACCCCATGACCTGGGGATCATGACCTGAGCCGAAATCCGGAGTCATACACTTAACTGACTGAACCAACCAAGCATCCCTTACCATTTTAATATATATTGTTGATTCAATACTGAACTCACAGCCAGAATACTCGTGGCACTGTAACTCATGCCTGAATGAAGCTTACCGAACATGTATTTTCTTCATAATGTACATCACAGCCTTCTTGCACTTAGGTCACAAGACAGCACTTCAGCACTTCACTTTCCACTTCTCCGTACATACCCATGAGTGACCACAGAAGCACTGAGAGTTTTTATTTGAGGGTTACAAATAAATTTGGCATGAGTCGGTAAGTTTACATATAAGGAATCTGTACGTAATGAGGATCAACAGAATATGAAATCTCTAGAACAGGCAGATCTATAAAGAAAGAAGATTAATGGTTTCTAGGGACTGAGAAGAAGGAATAGGAAGTAGCCAATAATACACATGGGTATTCTTTTTGGAGGGATTAAAAATGTTCTGGAATTAGACAGTTGTGATGGTTGTACAACCTTGTGAATATATTAAGGACACCGAATTATACACTTTATTCATTCATTCATTCTTGTAGAGAGAGGGAGAGTGTGTGTGTGTGCGCGCACGCGTGCGCGCACACACACTCTCACGCACGTGCAAACGGGAAGGTTAGAAAGAGGAGAGAAAGAATCCCAAGCAGACTTCTCACTGTCAGTGCAGAACCTGAGTTGGGACTCAGACTCACAAACCAGGTGATCATGACCTGAGCCAAAATCAAAAGTTGGACACTTAGCCAACTGAGCCACCCATGTGCCCCATGAATTTTACACTTTAAAAAGGTGATTTGGGGGGTGGGGGGGTTCTGGGTGTTTCAGTCAGTTAAGCATCAGCTTTGGCTCAGGTCAATCTCTTAGTCCATGGATTTGACCACTATGTTGGGCTCTGTGCTGACAGCTCAGAGCCTGGAGCCTGCTTCAGATTCAGTGTCTCCCTCTCTCTCTGTCCCTCCCCTGCTTCCATGCTCTCTCCCTCCCTCTCTCTCTCTCTCTCCTTCTCCCTCAAACATTAAAAAGAAAAAAAAATGGCGATTTTTATAGTACGTGGATTATATCTCAATGAAGCAATTTTTAAAGTTTTTAAATTACCATATATTAGTATAGGCTTATTGCCAGAAATTTTTTTCCATTTTTTTTCCAAATAAGTTGGACTTGTTATAAAATGGTCTCTAGAGGCCAAGGTAACGGGTATGTATAGGAGAGGCCCCGTCTAGGTGGCTTTGGATTTTTCTGCTCTTTTTCCTGAATGCTTTTGCAAAGATTCCAGTTCAAGGAAGCATTTACAGTACTCTAATAGAGGTGACAAGTTTTAGAACACTTTGGAACAGTTTTTAAAATCCTCTGATTTCATTTATTTGTTTAATAAATATTGATTCAAGTACCTGCTCTGTGGTAGGCACCATACAAGGTGCTGTCTACCAACAAATATTCCTGCCTTCATAGAAGGTAGAGAGAAACAATAAACAAAATAAGTACAAATAATATATAATATATTAAATGGTAGTGTCCTAAGTGCCAGGACTGGTTGGAGGGAGTCCGGAGCGCTTGATCTCACAAGAGTGGTTCACTGAGGTGACATTTGAACATAGGAGATAAGAAAATTGTACTGAGGTACCTAAGGGAAGAACATTCATGGCACATGCAAAGGCACATTGAAGATTCCTCCATAGCTAGTGTGCAGGGAGCACACAGCAGGAGGAAAAAGATCAGTGGAGAAATGGGACCAGACTGGATAGTGCTTCATTAGGCCTTTATAAGAATTCTGGGGGCACTTGGGTGCATCAGTTGATTGAGTATCCAACTCTTGATTTTGGCTCAGGTCATGATCTCATGGTTCATAAGACTGAACCCCTGGTTTGGCGCTGCACTGACAGCCTCCTTGGAATTCTCTCTCTCCCTATCTTCCTGCCCCTCTCCCAGTTGTGCACATGAGTACACATTCCCTCAAATAAATAAACATCAAAAAAAGATAGAATTCTGACTTCTTCATAAGTGAGACAGGCAAACCATTGGAGAGTTTTGAGCAGAGAAGTGAAATTATCTTACATCTTAACAGGATCACTCTGGCTACTTTTTTGAGAAAAGATTTTCAAGTGAGGTAAAAACAGACACAAGAAGACCAGTTAGAAGGCTGTTGCAGTAATCCAGGCAAGACATGATGGTATCCCAGATCAGAATGGTATAAGTAGAGGTGAGGAAAAGTAGTTAGATTCTGGATGTATTTGGAAAGGAGAGCCTACCTGGGGGAGAGAAGAGAGGAGCCAAGAGTTTGGCCTAAACAACTGGAATGGTGAAATTCAGGTTCACCTTAACTGAAATGGGGAAGACTGCAAGTAGAGTGGTATGTGGGGTGGCAGGTGGGAGATCAGGAGGATTTAGACATGCTAAATTTGTGATGCCTATTAAGACATCCAGGTGGATATGTTGAATAGGCTGTTGGGTATGCCACTCTAGGATCAGGCCAGAGATGTAAAATTGAGACTTGTTAGCTATAGAAATTATTTAAAGCTATTCAGCTAGATAAGATCACCAGGCCAAGTAGGCATAGACGGACAGTAGAAAAAACTCAGCTTGCATCCTGAGGCATTCATTCCATAGTCAACAGTTGATATGGCAGATCAATAAGGAATGGCTGGAGAGGTACATAAAACCAAAATAAACACATGCCCTTGAATCTTCACACAAAAAGTGAGGGAGGCATCAGCTCATCAGAAACTACAGTTACGTCAAGTAAGATGAGGGCTAACTTGGCAATGTGGATATAATTGATGGAAACTTGGCAAGCAGGAACTTCTCCTTCCTGTCAACATGGAATAACAGACACCAAATTAACCATGCTTGCCAAAAGGAGCAACAACAAAAAAATGAGAATATGTGAAACAATGGTTTGCAAGACCCTGGACGTAATACAGTGAAGAACAATGATCTCCAAAAGTGGCTAAGACTTGAGGTGAGCCCTGTGATTGACTCCAGCTTAATGTCTTAAGAAAATTTCTAGGCCATATATAGGGAGGGAGGGCCCAGGTGGAACACAGTGGCCTCCTTGAGAGTTTGGGGAGAATAAGGCAGCTGGAGTTTACAAGAGAGAGAACAGG